TGGCCTTCAAGCTCTTCACACTGGTGATGACATCGCCTTAAGATGGTTGAAACAATATGCCAAAACCGCATACACTGAATAAAATAGAAGTCAGGGCTCTCCTAGCTGTTTTGAATTATATTCTACTGCTTGAATATGTCACAAGTGAGTCCATTACGTGTCTTACTGTGTAACATTAACTAAGTTGCATAACCTCTCATACAGTCAGGAAAGTCCACTTGTATGTTTCACAGACATGATGTGAGACATGATGTTTGTAATGTTGGCTGATTCACATCTGAAAAGCAGAGTGTAAGTTCAAAGTACCATCATTCAACCATGACTCTGAATGCAAGTGCTGAAATCTGCAGTTCCTTGGTTTATGTGTATGTGCATTTGTGTGCTTGTGTATGCACAAGTGCATTAATGTTCATGTGTTTTCACTGTAGATGGTGAGGAAAATCTGATAAATTGTGAAAAAGTATATTGCAAAACAGTCACTAAGCCTTATTTCAACATAACCTCATAAAAGCCATACAGAAGCTTAAATTCAAAGCTAAAGTAAACAATCTTTCAATCTGCTTAGTAAAATGTCTTTACAGGTGAAGGTGGAATAACAAATATTTTTGCCAAGAATTCACCTAATTTTAATACATTAAAAAGTGTCATTTTGTTGGTTCCTGCCAACTCATTCATTTGTTGGTTCTCATTACTTCCTAATTCAAAGATATCAGGCAATGGGGTAGGGCCTAATATTGTGTACTGCAAAAAGGAAGAAAAAAGGGGGGAGGGGAGACATGTCTCTGCACATAGGAAAGGAGAAAATATCTAAACATCATCCCTGTTCAGGATTCATTGACTTCATGTAGCTTTTGTAAAGTACATTGCTGCAGTCTGGTGTGCAAGATGAATCATAATCCAAGTCCCTGCAAAGCAGAAGCGTAATAGAGATGCTTAGAAGAAAGAGTATTGGGGGGTACCTGGAGAGAACTGCAAAGGTGACTCACTTGGCTACTGGCAGCCACAAAGAAAAAAAGGGTCTACTTTATTTGGAAGAAACCTCAAGAGTTGAGGATGCCACACAGGAGGCATCCCGTCCATCTGAGATGCCAGGACCATGGATGGGGTCTATAAAGGCCATAACAAAGGTGTATCTGAATCCTGTTCCTGCTTAATTCATCCCTCACAACATCCGCTTTGATAAATCAGAAAACATATGGCTTGGGGTCAGCTTATCTCTTCCTCCTGTTCTTTAGCTTACAAAGCTGCTGGAGGACTTGTAATGCACATACCAGAGTGTCATTTCCACACTTTTTGAATACTGTTTCTATTTTTCAGAACCAAAAGCCTACCTCGGAGGAGATCACCATGATAGCTGACCAGCTAAATATGGAGAAGGAGGTGATCCGCGTTTGGTTCTGTAACCGACGCCAGAAGGAGAAAAGGATCAACCCACCCAGTAGTGGTGGAACCAGCAGCTCGCCCATCAAAGCAATTTTCCCTTGCCCAACCTCACTGGTAAGGATCAAGAAGCTGAGGAGGCATGCCATAAGGGGAAGAGGCTACTTAATCCTCACTTTGTAGCAACAGTGGGAATTGCATACACCTCACCTACTTTGTGCAAAACATTTAGAGGCACAGATTTACTCAATGTTCTTGCATGGGATTTTAAATGCCATATTTATATGCTGAAAAAAGATAAAGGTGGCAAATCCACCCATTCTAATACCCTAAATGCTTAACCTGAACCCCTGATTTAATTTGGCAATAATTAACAGCCAGCTAAATATGTAAGGCAACTACATTTTTTTTTATCACTACTTTAAACAGAAGCTAAGGGATCAAAATTTATGTTTCTATTTTATTTCCAGATTGGCTGGCTGACTCACCCAAGCCCTTTCTGTAAGGGAAAAATGTTAACTTATTCCCACCCCATCCATCTTGTTCAGCCACATCACTGCTTTTCATCAATAGTAGATTCTATCTGCTCTTAGGCAGTAGTTTGCAGACTGTCATCCAGATATAGCTCTACTACTTTTTGTCCCTTTTGGCCAGGGATGACTTATGTCAAGGTGGGAAAAGAGCTTAACTAATCTTTGTATCTCATTTTCAAAACTTGTGTCTGCCCAAGGTACATCCAAATTTACTGAACACATGGGTAACAAAATGCACACATCAAGTTTCTTCTCTCTCTCCACTACTGTTGTTAAAGACGGTCTGGTTTTTTCTGGACATAGTTGTTGCCATTGCTGCTACTGCTAAAATTAAACGCATCTAGTTTCTTTGTAGCCTAAAGGTGCTGTATAGGTTCTGCCCTCACCACTGTGGACTCTGAGTGCCTTCTAATATATTGTATTAAATAATATAACTAGCATTGGCTATGTCCTCATGTCCTCTCATCAGGGAAATAATTGTGCACATTAGTGTTTGGGTTATACATTTGAAAAAAAGATGCCCTAATGTGTTTTTAGAAGAGAGGGAAAGATTGTAGCAGTTGTTCTTGCCCTGAGGGAATGCAGTGGTGAGGTTTATGGTGGCTTATAGTTCCTCAGTACACCTAAAACTGTCAGTGTCCTAAAACCCATGTCCTGCCCAGAAAAATTAAGACTTCTGTGGTATAAAATTCTATTAGGCTGAGAAACTTGAGTTGATCTTGTAGACATGCTAGGTCTGTGCCATGGACTGCCTTGAAAATAAGGCATGGGACCTTGACTTGATGGTTCTGTGATGGAAACAAGCATAGAGCATGGGACAGATTTGATGTGCTCATAATAGCCGGCATTGTTTTGATGCACACTGCAGACCTAATTATTTGTGTTCATAGAACATTTCTTAAAAGCTGCTCTATCCTACTCCATCCCTCTCCATGTATCAAATGTAACAAACAAGGGAGTTTATTACTTCCTTTAAGAGAATATGCAGTAGCGATTCAGGAGGCTGCGCATCTCTCTGTGGTTAGTGCTCTATTTTTTTTTTTAAATGCTTCAGATGTTATGTATCTCCATACCAACACTGTTCTGTGCTTATGGACAGCACATCTTAGCTGCACATATGCTTTTTAATCCTTGAACTACGTGTTTTGTTTTTAATCTTTTCTTGTAAGTTGGTTCTTTCAGCCCTTTAATCTTGGTGGTATTTCTCTGAACTTCTTCTAGTTTATATGCAGCTTGCTTCTATTAAGATGCTAGTTTCATTTGAACGCCCTAAACTCAGAGGTCCTTTAAATGAAGGAAATGCACCAAAGTGAAGTTTGGTCAAGAAAAGGTAAAACATGCTACATAAAACAATGCAGTGATAAAACACCCAGAAAAGAGAGTAGGATAATACATAGCGGTGCATGGAAGGTATTCAAGCTATAAGCCTTTGGTTTTGGGTCTGCCTTCACTTCTACCATCTGCATCCTGTTCCAGGATATCTCAAGCCTCCCAAAAGTGAATGGAGTGCTTCGCCTTGTGTGCAGAGGCATCCAGCAGGTTAGTCCTCTTTCTGGAATGTGCTATACCCTCACCATCAAGCCACTGCTCCACACATTGCACCATTGCCTGACAGGCCTGGCCCTCCCATCAGCATCGGCCTTAATCGTCAGCCCTCCAGTCAAAGTGATGGATATTCTAACTATATAACTGTCTCTGTGAGCAGTGAGAACAACATCCAGAAGCTGATAGACTGTCAGTGCACCTATGAACGTACCTCCTCAGCCTGCATTAACTGGGCTGAAAGTAATACCTTTCTGCTGGGCATCTGTGATGTTTTAAAGGTGCTGGAGGTCTTCCTCAGCTCACCTTCTTACTTGGCCCAGAACTGGGAAAGCCTCATTGAAGAGTTCAAGGAGCAGCTATAGTGTCAGTGCTGGCACCTGCCCAGCCTCTCTTACTGCAACTGAGTCCTGATTTATTAACATCTTGATGGCTGCTGCCCTGTGGTACAGGCTTGCTGCCCAGGGCTCACATTCATCCCTGCTCCAAAAGCTCCTTGTAGACTTATTCTGGGATGGATACCACTGGCTCCAGTGGGCTGTCCTCCATCTGCCCACCACCAGGAGGGTCAACACCTAACTGATCTGGTGAGCAACGATGTCTGTTTTCCACTTATAGGCCATTAAGCATCTGCTCTTTGCTGGTGAACTATTCCCCTGGTGCCAGGTAGCCTTCTCATTTCTGCACTGTGTGGGGCCTCAGCTGCAGCCCTGTTCCTCTTGGATCCCAACTGCCTCAGTGGGGACGCCCTCTTGTCCTTCTGTTGTGGCCTTGCCTGGCCCTGGCAGGTCTCTTTCTGCCTTAGACCCCAAGCCAGGCACCTTAGTTTTTTCCTGAGATGCTATGGGAGCCATTGGTTCAAAACCTGACTTTGCATTGGAGAGTGCCAAGGTAAGTTTCAGAAAGCCCCATGGTCAACTTGGTCTCATTACAAACCATCAAGTTTGTCCACCTCCTTGATCTAGTACAGTCTGCCTGGCTCCTGGCTGGGCCTGGACTCCATCTGCCTGGCTGCTCACATCGTGGCCAAGGTGAAAGCAGCCCTCCCTGAGGATGCTGTAGCTGCTCTGGAGGATAACCTCAGGCTGTAGCAAGCCCTCCCGACCATCTCTGTGGACGTAGCAACTTCGTTGTTGCCTATCGTCCCAGCTGTGGACAGTGAGGAGAGTGGTGTGCCTGCCACTCTGTTGCCTCTCCCAGTGCCTGAGGGAAGCATGTATGTTGGAGTTTCTGCTTTGAGAATCTCTCTTGAAAGGCGCTAGATATGCGAGTGGTCCAGGTGCACCATGCTCACATCCTTGCACCTGTCCTGACACTGCCTAGAGGCAGCACCTGGTGGCAGTGATGCTGAGGCAGGTGCGCCCAGCCTGGTGCACTCTGTACAAGTGCCCATCCTGAAGAGGATTGGCGACCTCCAGTGGCATCTGCTGCACAGGGTCCTAGCCACTGATACCTTTGTCTGCCATCTGGACCTGGCAGCATTGGCAGCCTGCCCCTTTTGCAAGGTGGAGAAGACCCTCTATCATATGTGTGTTGACTGCCTCTGGCTGCAGCTGCTCTTTGCAGCTCAATCACCCTCTTTGGTGTGCTGGGGTTAGATTTCAGTGAAATGGCATACATCTTTTCAGTCCTGTACTGGGCTGCTGAGAGAATGTAATCTTCCTGGCTTACTTCCTCCTGGGGCAGGCTAAGACAGTTACACCTGAAGAGCTGCCAGAACTGACTTGCCAGAAAGGACACCCTCCTCCTTCAATTCCTCATAGTACCTTTTGAGTTTTGGCACTTTGTCCTAAAGTAAAACCTGGACCAGTGTGTGTCCTGCTGGGCCACTAAGGGGTTCCTAT